TGAACAAATAAACGCTAATTAGTGGTTTCCATGCCTCACGCATTGCGCAATTGGTGGGAAACCGGAAATCTATGAATACACGCAAAGAAGATTTCATTTTCCTTGCTAATTACCTTTCTCTATGCACTTGAAAATCACTATGAGAAATTATTTTGAGATTTTCTCATTTGGGTGCTGATTAGRAATTTCGCTATTCTACCCCATATCAATGTTTTCTATCTGTAATTTTTTTCATCATCAAACATTYAWTCATAAATYYWCYARWTTAGTTGRTTTYTARTTTGGAAWTYCATCYAAAACTTACGAAAYAATTAGAAATCAATTAATTTTGAAATAATAAAATTTCAGGAAGAAAAWTGGCCAGACTGAAAAAAWATTGATGATAAAATTCTGCGGTTACCAGCGGTTTTATATAAGTCCATACCCTAGTTATGTGTTTCAAAATTTCCTTAAATGTAACGAAAAATTGCGTAAAATGCGAAAATTTTATTTCTTATAGCAGAATATATTTTCTATCAAATGGCGTTAGCGCCAAATCTCTGTCCAAAATTAGCCCAATAAATGACGTTATATTCCTATATATAAATAGGTTATATGTGTTTGAAAAATTTCCAACAAAATTGCCAAATCTTATGCAAATTTGCAAGTTTTAACACTTATAGAGCAAGATCTTTGTTATAAAATTACGGTAAAGTCAAAACTCTATATGTTTTTTCATAGTTTGAACTACAGATCTTTTGAAATCAGTTCAAACCAATTCAGCTAATTTAGTTGGCCATTTATCCACCTTGCATTCGTTGACCCACATTTTCCAACCAAATTAAATTTGGCAAATTGAACCATTCTTGTTACGTCCTACTATTACTTTAAGTGTTTATTACTATTCCATTCAACGGGCAAATCAATGCCTGTCTAGCTTATATAATGCATTATTATTATCTAATGATGCGTAAATTGAGCAACCAAATCTATTTGCTATGGTCATTTTGCGCTAAGAACGTGTTTTTATTTATGACCTACATTATGGACATTATGGTTAATATCAAGTAGTGTAATCAGAGAGTCCGAGTGCTTGATTACTATTTAATAAAATCGTCTTTGCGTATTGTGCAAATATGTGCTTGGTAAATTCAGTTGGTTAGGTAAGCAATATCATGCCTCATTTAACTGGGAAATTGTTTGGGCAAATCAGCTTTGTGAAGAACAGTTATGCATTTATGAATGTATCTACTTTGGTAAAAGTTGGGGGAAAATTCACGTTTTTTGATGAAAAAGAAAAGAATGAATTTGGGCTTATTGAACAATGGAGCTATTTAGAAGCTAAATACTGCAAAGAGAAGAAATGAAGGGACAAGCCGTTGGTGTAAACATTACTTAATATGGAACCATTTCGTAATTAATTGTAACCGTACAAAAAAATCTTACGTATTTATTTATATAGATTGACTCAAAGTTGGCGGCACTCCTTTCAAGAGGTTCTAGGGGCTCAGTTGGAGAGTATGAGAAAAATATTGCGCAATCAGTCGAGAAAACTTACTCATTTCGACAAAAATTGTGCTGATTTTTTACCGACTTTCAAACTCAAGTCTGAAAAGTGCGGCTCATGAAGCGAGGAACCAGTCTGCAAACAAATTCGAATTTCCAAAGAAGTAAAAATTTAGGTTGTTAAGCTTTCAAGGCCGTGAATTACACTTAACTCCAGGTTTGCGTTGATTTTTCGTCGATTTTCAAACTTGATCCTGGAGAAAATAGTTTTTGAAATAAGCAACCGGTCGGGCAAAAAATTAGTTCCGAACAGCAGCAGTCCAGGTCTTCAAACCCTACAAAAGATTATCGATTTTTTAAGCTGAAACAGTATTAAATTTCAAACATATCCATGCTAGTGTGGATTTTTCACTCACTTTCAAACCTGAGCCTGAAAAGTGCGGTTTTGGAAGAAATTCAATAAACAGCCGCACTATAAACGATTAATTAGTATCTACACACTCCATCCAAATCCAAGCCAGCACTGATTTCTGATCGACTTTCCAACTTGTGCTTAAAAATAAATTGAAAAAAATTAGTCAATGTTGAAAACAACTTGTGATTTCGAAACAAGTAAAATTAATATTTGCTCAATGGATAAACTGTTGAGCCTTAAAGGTACTACAGAACCGCATGTTATAGAAATCCAGGTTGGTGTCGATTTTTCAACGACTTCTAAAAAGTACGGTTTTTGAAGCAAGCAACTAGTCAAAATAGAAATTATCATTTTAAGAACAGCAGAAAAAATCGGATCCGCAAAATCTGCAAACAATTAATGAGGCCTTAAGTTGCAGTCGTATAGAATCTCACTAAAATTCAGGGCTAAGTTTTGATTTTTTTTGGCGATATGCAAACTAAGGTCTGGAAAGTGCATTTTTCAAAGCAAAAAAAATCAGTTCGAATCTGCAGATTCGCAGACTCTTAACGAACCTTTCAGCTACAACCTTGTGGAATTTCACTCAAATTTAGGCCGGCATTTTTCGCGACTCAAAAGCTATTCTTGCTAGAATTTTTTTTATTTTTCCGTCGATTTTTATTCGTTTGGTTGACCATACAGCAGGCGCTTGAAGCGAACCATATCTTCACGTAGGTATATCCGTTGCATGTTTCGTAACCATTATCCAAGATCGGTTAAGAGCGTAAGTGAAAAACCAGAAACATCACAAGGTACGCATACACTACTTGCTAAAAGCACTTGCGAATATAATCGTGTTCTTCATATGGTCCCATGTTAATCCTTTCACCGGCTAATCTGCATACTGTGTTCGAACATCATGGTTAAAAATTCAACTAGATTTTTGCATACCTAAAGCCGCACAAAACAGCACGTTCATAATTGCAAAAAAAATCGATTTAAAAAGCTTTCAAAACCTAAACCAATATTGGACCAGTTGATGACTAGCTATTTTTAATTATATGCAAATAAATATTAGTCCATATTTCATCATTAGGACTTTCTTTCCTGTACCGCACAAGCACGTTCTTGTCTAATTTCTGTTGTGTAACTCAATCAAGCATCCGGTGTCTATCTATTACTTTAACTTACATGAGTGTGAGATTAATAACCACTCCTTAGACTGGTCTATGTCGCCTACTTTCAACGCAAATATGTTTTTCAAAATTTTACGTTAGAAAATCCACCATTCAAAGCATTTCTCATGCCAAAGTCTGTTATCTAATAGCAAAGTTCAAAGCTACCGGGTATATGACATCAATTCATTTTATATATAAACAGTTGATTTAATTTATGACCACGGATATTTCAATCAAACGTTCAGCATTCCAGCAATTTTACAACTACATACCTTGTTAACTTTTCTCAATTAAAACGACATACTAGTTTAACTTGCTTCTGAATTATTTCCTAATAAAAATGCCGCAACTTTCCTCACCTTCAATTGCTTATTATTCCACTTGACCATAATTTAAAAATTGAAAGGCTTCTAAACTATACCAAGTACAAAGAAACTAAAAATTATTTACCAACATCGTGCTGTGACTTACGACAGTAAACTAATAGAATAAGTATTAAGCCATTACAATGACCTTAAAATTAATAAAATCTCGATGATGAGTCGCGTAAAAGTAACGTACTTCTTCAGGTGCTGACCTGAATTCCATCGACTATTTCAAAAAAAATATTATATAATAAAAACGCCCATCTAATGTAGTTTAGCAACAACTAAGAGAAAAAATAACAGCATCTCGATGGTAATTATGCAGCGAAAAAAATTGTGTATTTGATTCTAATTTCTTAATATGTTTTCCTTGTAAAGTTGCAATCACTGCATGCTAAATACAGGCAAATTAAGCTTATTTCGAAACTGAAAGCCGGTAACAAATATTTTTATTTACATTGAATGCTTAGGAAATGTTCGAGTAGAACAATGCCGGATGGTAGATTTACTTTGCAATATCGTGAATATTCAATGCCGATTAGGGTGGTTCACTGACGCATAGAAAAATGCAGTATTCGTAATTGCTTACAAATTAA